TTAATGTCATAAAACAATGAAACAATCAAAAACATACTCAGAACTTGCAGAAAACAGCACAAATCTCATGATTCAAAATGAGTATTGTATGAGAATTCGTGAAGATTCAGTTACATCAGATAAATATTAATGTTAAATAAATATTTGAAGAAAACAATCACTGGTGGAAAATGTCTTATTTCACTTGCTAAGTTAAAAAAATGAAATCGCTTAAATTGCACATGTTAAGCTTTATAGTAAAAACATCCCACTGTTCTGCACCAAAACAGGCGAGGGAAAATGCAGTTGTGTGTGGTTTTTGTAGGTGTGTGTGTGGCTGTGTTTGAGTCGCATTATTCTGCTCCACTTTGAAACTCTTCTGATCTCTCTTAAGGCACTGTCGCTCTCACCAACTATCGAATGACAGACAGACAGAGCCAGAAATGTGGTGTGTGTTATTGTGGTTTGAGTCTCTCTCTCTCTGTAGTGACACTCTCTCACATTCACACCATCCAAACTCAGAGCTCGACATCAACAAGACGGCAGAAATAAGAGCAGGGAATCACAAAGATTAAAGAGTCTGTGGGTTCTTTGAGGGACTGGTTCCAGATTTAAACCAGAAGAGTGACGATAACTGTGTAAACTGGACCCTGCTGTAAAATTAGTCCTGATAGACACGACAGCATGGCTAATATTAACTTGTTATACAGCTATTGCTTTGGTGGAGATGTCATAAGTAACAAGAAACTGCAGTGCAGCAGTGGAGAAATCATAGTTTTTTAAGTAACAAGTAAATCTCAAGTCAGTCCAGAGACAAGTCCTACACCAAGTCCAAGTCAAGGGCCGTAATGTATCATCTACACAATAATGAAAGTTAATGGAGTGATTCCTAATAGTGTCACCTAATGGAAGCATATATAATGTGAACAGAACCGGTCCGAGCACAGAACCTTGTGGAATTCCACGAGACAGAAGTACAGAGTTAAAACCAACAGGAAACAAGTCGACCAACAAGTCCAAGTCAAGGGCCTTCTTACGTATCAGCTGTGGATCAGTGGGTAGAGCAGTGTCACGGTTTGATTCTCCATGTGTCGAGGGGGTCCTTATGCAAGACACTGAAGCCTGAGTGGCTCCCTGGGTGCCCAGGGTTTAGTGGATGCTCCAAGTGTAAAGGACGGGTTAAATGCAGAGGACAACCTGTGTTCATGTATGAAAATCTGTGGAAAGGCATTTTATGTCCTTAAGCAGGCTGGTAATTTAGCTAATTAGGAAAATCTTTAGTTGGGGGCAGCCCTAGTTTCCGGGCTGTTTTCACCACAGCAGATGTGCACAGGAACAAAATCAGTTACCACAAATCATTGAAGTCTCAAAGTCGCTAATATCAGCCCTGTGTGAAGAGAGCTCGGCACTAACACCCGACCACCATCCAAACCACTGTGGGAAAACTTCCACAGAGCCAACCAAGCCAGAGTGGAAACACTAGAAACCTGGTGACATGACTCGATGGTTTCCTAGGTTGGTTGCGGCGTCAATGTCGTATCAGACTCTTCGAACTTCAGCCTAGGTGGTCTTACATCATCCTGTTCACATTTACCAAACCCTGCTGATGTTGGCGTAGATCCACAGCAGCTAGATAAACTCTCCCCGACCAACACTCCACTCTGCAGGAAACCACAGTCAGTCTGTGTAGTTTACAGATTAGTGGTTAGCTTGGGCTGTGATGTCAGGTTATCGAGCGCAAAGAGCTGCTGACAGGATTATTGGAGCATAATGAGCCATAACAAACACCACACAGGGGATTCGTGCATGTCTTACATAGGTTTCCTCTCTGATTCCATACATGCTTGCAGCCATGTAGCCGGATGTGACAAAATGTTCATACAGACAGATTTACAGCACAGAAAACAGTGTTCAATAGGTTTCACTGTGAGACACATATTTCTGCGTTTTGCAGCTGGTTTCAGTGATTCCACTGTTTTCACAGCAGATATTAACCATTTGTTGATTTCTCTTCGACAAATGGTGTTCCAGTGCATCTTAAGCCTTGAACACACTACATTACACACACAACCTCCTGTCTGCCTGACTGATCATTATTTCATAATTCAATATCATCCATAAAAGATACAGTGTATTCTGATCAATATCATCCATAAAGATACAGTGTATTCTGATCAATATCATCCATAAAGAGTGTATTCTGTACAAACTCAACTATTTACAACGTGACCAGCAGCTGAAAATAAAACCAGTTCATGTTTTTAACATTTTCTTTTCTTTCTGAGAAGAAACAGGATTTAATAAGAATCTAAAAGCAGAATAAATAAAATCTCAAACCAGGCCTTTAAATCTGAGCGTGTCACGTCTGCAGTGTACCACAGAGCTGTTTACCCCAACGCCACGTAACTGTCACCAATGCAGAACCGAGCTAACGCGCCGAAGCTGTGACTGAAAGCCTTCTGAACAACTCTTGCAACATCCTTGCGTCACCTCTCTGGCTGAAACACGATCTGGGCGTCGGGACTGATGCCTCCTGACCCCGGGGGAAAAATAAACGCATTGCCCACCAAACGTAGTGGGTGGCACCTCGAAATGATTTTAGCAGCTAATTAGATTTTGAGAGCGAGAGTCTGACAGCTGGTTACCTGCCAACAGGTTCCACTCACTTCTTGCCAGAACATCTACCAGCATTCGTCTGGTGATTTCCCATCACTCCCCGTCCCTTTGATTGTTTGATTGAGGAGGTGGAACTGCTTTCTCTGGCGGCAGGCTCAGTGTGGGAAAATAGTTTGCGAGCATGCAGAGCCAGGCGACATGTGGAGGCAGGTTCGGGGCAGGGAGGAGGGAGGTGGAGAGCTCACTCCAAACTGCAGCCTCTGTTTATAATCTGTTTGGTGGTTTATCCGACGCCTCGTCCAGGGCCGGCTGACAACATGAGATTCAGTTCTCAGAGTGACAATCGAGCGAATTTCTGCCAGTCTTTACAGGAAACATATAAATATGACGAAGCAAACAGCTCTCTGACTTCTGTTTCATGGAGACTTCAATCAATTAGTCATTTGTCAGAAAATTGTCAACATTTTTGATAATCCATTAATCCTTTGAGTCTGTTTGTTTTCCTCTGTTTTATATCATATTAAACTGAAGGTCCAGTGTGTAACATCTGGGAGGATCTATTGTCAAAAAATATATTAATATTCATCCTTTCATTAGTGTTTAATCACCTGAAAATAAGAAGCTTTGTGTTTTTGTAACCTGAGAATGAGACGTTATTATCTACAGAGGGAGCGGGTCTTCTCCTGGCCATGTTTCTACAGCAGCCCAAAACGGACAAACCAAACACTGGAGCTAGATAGCTGCATCTGTGTTTCTCCTTCACACTTGCGGGTGAAGCGAGGGGGTTGCAACCTACATACTGGACCTTTAAAACTAAAATCTTTATTTGTGTGCAGATTTTTGTACTTCAGGAACAAGAATTTTACATCTTAACAGAAGACAAAATTATTTGATGAAATGGAGTTTATGGATGTTTTTCCTTCCTTCCAGGCAGAATCTGGTCTCGTTTAATTTCTATTAGAAATCAACTTCTTCATCCTTCATCCATCATTCTCATCTACTGTTGACACGTTCTCACTGTGAGCTTCTGTGGATGGAAGCGGGACTGGTTGATTGTTTTGAGAAGTCTGGAGATCGAAATCGCACGACTTTCAGTTTGACAAATCACCAAGAAAACAAAAGTAAATGTTAGCAGCTTCATACGAAAGGAAGTGAGGAGGGAAGGAAAGAAGGACGGAAGCAAGGATGGGAAAACAGTCACAGAGCGAGAGACGTCTGATATGATGCAGTGGGACGCTGGTCATCAGATATGTCCATGTTTGGTCGACCAGTGGAGCCACATCTGGACTCCTCTGAGCCTGGCACAGGATCCCCCTCAGCCCATAATTCACTGGGGCAGTTATCGGTTGGAAAAATGCTGGCAGGCTGAGCTTCACTTTCTCTCCATGCCGCTGTCACTCTTTGTATAGTCTTAACTGTGTCTGTGACTAGAGACTAGAGAGCTCGAACTGTCGCTGTCACAGCAGGACCGATAAAGACCGACGGCTCCTCTGGTTTGACATTCGTGGCTAAACGTCAATAAAACGTGTCTGGTAAATTTACAGCGGCAAAACATTTACATGTGCTTGCCCGTTTAAGGGTTATGTTCCACTGCTGGATAGCATAAACAAGTTTATTAGATTGTAATGTGCATGGAAGAATGGAAATATATGACTTTCCTTTGTTTTGATATCAGCATTATATATGCTCTATAAACCAGTGGTTCCCAACCTGAGGGTAGGGGCCCCCACTAGGGGTCGACAAAGCTTCACAGGGGGGTCGCAAGGCCTTTTCAATTTTATGGGGTGTAGGAACTTAAAAATATGCCGATATTTCAGCGTTTCATTCTTTTTTTGTCAATAAAACTCAATGAATTTAATGAATATAATGTGAAATATTTATTAAATATGTCAGTCGGGGGTCGTCAGTTCACTGAAAAGGTTGGGAACTACTGCTGTAAACACAGTCCTGCAAGAGGGAAAGGACTTTAGAAACAGGAGTTATAAAAACTACAGAAGGACAGAGAGCAGGAGGGTGGATGAGTCTCGGGTGAAATCCTGCAGGTCTGGCACAACAGAGAGAGCCGGTCTGGGTTGGACCTGCCAGTTTAGACTGAGGAGAAAAAAAGGGGGAACAACAACAACAGAAACCTCATCCTGCCCGACGACCATGACGGCTTCATTTAACACGCCGGTTACCGGGGTCAACGGCAGGAATGCCCCACGGCCGGCCAAGCAGAGCCACTGACAGCCTTTATGCACAGCAACGCAGGAGAAAGAGGAAGGCCCGCCGGTGTCCGAACCGTGCGCTCCGTCCTCGTTTGTGGCTCCGGGCAGCAAACCGGCAGCAGCCACTGATGAGCACATGAAACCGCAGCCAGAGTCTGCACAGATCTGGACTGAAACCAGAACGACCCTGAGGCGAGAAACCAAGCAGCTCGATCCCACCGGGAACATAAACAGGAGGCCGAAATTAAAAGCCTCCAAGAGCTTATAATTATCAGTCCAACCTCAATCAATCAAAACTATTACATAATTATTACTCATAAGAGAAATTTATGACTCAGCAAGTCATAATTACAACTTAGAAACTCATCGAACGGTATAATTATGAAATTGAAATCGTATCAGTAGAATTGTTACATAAAGAGGAATGTAACACCACAACTTACAAATTACAGGAATAAACCACTACAGAGGTGCAGTACGTCCTTCCTGCCACTGGGGGGCGCCTCACATCAAAACAAAAACAAAGACAAAGTTTGGTGACATCGTGAAGTAGCCACTGCCGCTACTGCCGTTAGCTTCTCTCGGTTCTTAATTCTTTCTTTCTAATTCCTGGACTGATTATGTGTAAATAATTATTCTATTAGCTCAATGCTAACACATAAAGGGAATTACCATTAACGCGCTAATATTACCTTTTACGGTCCATGTGGAGACGTCATTGGGACCCAAAGAGCTTCAAATTCAGAAGGTCAAATAGGGGAGGGGAACACGAGAGAGCAAGAGACTGAACATCAAACCAAAACCAAGAACGTCATCCGGATGATTCAGTTCTGATTCAGATTTTTGGTCTTTGGTCGAAGAAGCAACAGAAGAACAACCAAACCTTCTCAACACCAATGACGAGCTGTACAACGTCTGAACTCACCGGCCACGCGAAACTGAACGGCAACACGATCCTGGCTTTGTCGCTCTTGGCGCCACGTAAAGAAAAGGTATTCCCACCAAGGACCGGCGTGGAGGCGGTGCCGAAGCTGCAGGGCCCGCCCGAGGAAACCTTCAGCTGGTACTCCTTCAGACACACTCGGAAGTAGGTGTCGCACTCGTCCGCCGTGCACCGCCGATCCGTGGCATCCCGGGAACCGTCGCAGCAGGAACCGGTCTGCAGCTGCCCATTAACGTTCTGCATCGACAAAATCTGGAGTTCAAAGTGTCCTGAAGCCGACGAAACCTGCAGAGAGGACAGGACAACAAAGCAACGTGATTAACAACAGGAGAGTCGGTTGTTCTGTCTGCATGAAATCACTCCTGATACACAACTTATCAATTCATTGATGAGACAGTTAATGGAAGACAGTTTCCTAATCGATGAATAAATGATCAAACAGAGTCAAATGTTTGCTGGTTCCAGATTCTTAAATGAGACCATTTGCTGCTTTTATCGTCATCGTATCAGCTGCAGCTCCTGGAAGTGTTTCAAGAGAAAATATAAATCAATGACTCAACAGTTTCAAGGTTCACACTCTATTTAACAAATCACTTTCCAGGACCTTTTCCAGGACTTTTTTTTTAACACTACAGGACAGAACTTGCCTACAAACGCTCATAAAAGCTGCGGTTTCATAAGTGACAACATTAATTCAAGCACAGCTCATCAGTAACCACTCACATCCAGTCCAATTTATTCTATTTTACAGAAAATCTATCTTCTAGAGAGTTAAAAGTGTTCATTGCACGTACAGTTAACATCAGTGTGCATGTATTTATCAACCACAGCAACAAGAGATGTGATGGTTACAGCTCTGCAAGTCAGCGTCAGGAGCTAAAATACAAACATTTCCAGGACAACAGATTATTTCCAGCGTATTTGCTCATTTCAATCAATTTCCAGGTGTTTCCACGACTGGAAAACCAGACGGAGCGTCGGGGCTGCGTGGGAACAGCCTGCGGTTTGACTGGAGGAAAACCAGGTGAAGAGCGGTGTCACAGAGTTCAGTCCGCCTGCCTCCTTCGTGTTCTGGACACTTTAACTTTCCCCTGCAGGATCTTATCACAGCGAAGGATCCTGATCGACGCTGCGAGTCCAACAGTCTGTGGCCTGAGAGCTCCAAACGCCGGCCCTGTGAGCCAACGCTGACCAAAACCAAAAGGAATCCATGTCCCCACTAGAGTCCCATTAAAACACGTCTGATTCCTGCACACAGCTGTAAATATTAACTACTGCTCCCAATTTAGAGTTAAAACTGCAACATCTGCTTCGGTTTTAACCCCTCGAACTCCCTGATTGTGTTTAAGGTTCATTAATAATTAACTTAAAGGATCCGGATCATTTCTGCCACATTACAGCAGAACTTTATCAAACATCAGGATGTAAAATATATTAACAGGTGAGATTAAATGATTCTATTGTTTCATCTAGAAAAAGAAGATTTTATAGATTTTTGTAAAAGCGTTTGGCTCGTTACTCAAAAAATGTAATTTATTACTCATGACTCTTTTCAAAAGTAATGTTATTACTTTACTTAATACTCCATGACAACAGTAACTAGTTACTCTACTAGTTCTATTACTTTTTGTGTCCTAGAATCGGAGTAATGGAGTATTTCCTCCAACATCACAGAAATCAATCCGAGGATGTGATTGGATTATTAATCAATCAGAACCTAATAATAGGTCATTACTGATTAATAACAATCCAGTTATATTGGATATTGCCATTAGTTAGTAATTAGTTACACTACTAGTTACTGGGTAAAGTATATATATATCTATATAGTCTGTCAGAGTTGAACAAGAACTTTTCGGAAACTTTCCTGAAGGTTTCAGTCAGTAAATCCACATTTTGTCCCGAACATGAGAGAGAAGCTCGTTCCGTGTTTCAGCTCGGAGGAAAACTTAAATAAGACAAATAAGAGCGGGACCCTGGCGTACCTGGATGCCGGCAGAGAGCAGCAGGATGAAGGGGAGGAGGACGGAGCTCCGTGTGAGGGGCATGCCGGCGGCGGGCTGCTGCCGGCGGCGGGCTGCTGCCTGGCGGCTCTCGGGGCTCAGTGGTAGTCGGTGCGACCCTCCGCTCCCGGTTTATACCCCCCCGGATGGGACATGCACGGAGCTGCAGCTATTCTTTCCCACAGAGTCCTCCACAGAGTCCCGGTCCGACCCGATCCGTCCTGCACCGGAGCCTTTTGTCTGCTATTGTCCGGGTTTCTGTCACCAGCTCCGGCTGAACGTCCACACCGTCTGACAGCAGCTGGAGCGCGGACCGCACTTGGGTCGGCCCCCGCAGCAGGCTGGGTAATATCAACCAGCACCGGGGGGCGGGGCCTGTGTGCAGACCACGCCCACCGCTGCATATTAATGAGCAGCGGTTTGTTTACAGTCAGTTCACATGGAGGTGCAGAAGTGCTTTCACACATGGAGGCTAAAAACCTCCAGAACCGACCTGAGAGCGGTTTTATATGGAGGCACACTTCTGCCAATGTGACAGAAAAAAGACCAAACAATCGATAATATATTAACTCAATATATTATATCAATATATATTAATATGTTGAGAAAGTCTCTCTTATAATGACTTACAGAATCTTTTTTTCCATCATATAGGCACAAATGGGCTTCCGTAGTTTGACATCTGAATGATAATAACAGAGACAGAAGTAGCAGAAAGTAAAGTTTAAATTATTATTGAAATTCTGCTTTTTCTTTTTCTCAGTAGTGATGCTGGAAACTACGGTGGCTCTGAAATGTCAAACACACAATATATATATATTTTCTACTACGTTTTGGCTCTTTAAAAATAATTCACAAACACAAACACAAACAATACATTTATAAAAGAAATGACAACAACATTTTTTGTTAATTGGTTTATTTGCTTAACCCCTTCAAAATAAGAGGCTTTGGTAGTGTAACAGGTCATCCACACATTCCTGCAGTGACTGTCAGAATGACCACCTGATGATGCCACATCACCCCCTTCATCACCATCATCATCATCATCATCATCATCATTGCAGACTTTCTATAATTAAAATACAGTTTGAGCTTTAATTATTTTAATATTTAGACTGTAAAACAATGAACTATAAATCCAGGTGAACTCTGCTATAACACAATAATCAGACTTACATTTACAGCAGAGTGCTGTTATTATTGGATTGTTATTTTTTAATGTGAATGTTAAAGTTATAGAACTGTAATAAAAGTCATTATCTGTGAAATTACAATAATTATTGCTGTTTACACTGATAAAACTGTATTTGGACAGTTTACCATGCTTATACACTGATAAACAACATTTATTCAACTTCC